TCCGAAGCAGCCCTTCTATAAAATATATATTGTTTTCAAAAAATCAAAATTATGACTAACTCAATCAAAATCTTTAGCAAATCTGGTTCGGCATTATTTTCTAAAGCTAAATTACATGTTGAGTAAAACAAGCTCAATTTGTGACCATAGATTTTTTAGCTGTTCTTGGTTTCTTATTTCACAAGTTTCATCGGGTGTACAGATCAATGCAACTGGTCGGTATTCTTTTAAATCCACATGGCCCACACTTTTAGATATTGGGCAAATTTTTGATACTTTTCAAGCACCTCACTAGAAAATGGTTGGTTCAATTCCCAAAATATATTGTTTGCAAGCGTCGTTTATGTGCTTTTTACGCTTTGCTATAAAATATGAGAATATTTGGATTATTGTAAACTCTTAACGTAAACTCAACTGGATATTATTTGTTTGTAAACTTTCCATATAGAACATAATGTTTTAGGGCATAGATAAGCCTTATATGGGACATGGCAATACAAACTATGTACGTGATTTTTTATTTTCATAAAATGAAATCCAGTTTAGATAACTAATAACATTGTGAAAATCATCGATCATCATTGCACGTTTTCTATAATAAATATTTCTACAAGTACATAGCAGTTTTCGGGAATGATTATTATTTCCACGAAATGGATAAGGTCAGGGCGGCGATCGGGATGATCGGTCCGAGTGAGTGACCTCTACGGAAGGAAGAAAGAAAGTGTGAGGTGGGGGAGAGGACGTCGACGTCTTCTTCATAGCCCGAGCTTCGCTTGGATGTTCGGTTCAGTCACGGTCCACGATGTTGCCACGTTGAACACTTTTTGACCGTTAAATAGAATTAATGAATAATTAAATAATAAATTTCAAACATTTTTGATCGATTCTGTACTTATTTCCATTAACTTTTTACAAAGTATAGGATAATGTCATATAAAACGTGTTAAAATTAAACAGATAATTAAAGCATAAACTAAGGCATAAGGCTAAATTATTTTTAAGTACACCTTTTAAAAGCACTACTTTTGTTTAAAAATTTTAACCTTAGTGGGAAGTTTATTATAGAGTAGAACTATCGGACTATTTGCTACCTTAACCAGCCTAGACAACATCAAATTTAAATTGACCTGAAAATCATATTTTCTGATATATTATTTATTTTTTATATGCATAATCGAAGCTAAAATATATAGAGAGGGGAAAGTTTATAAATTTAGTTTAGAAAATAATGTTTTGCAGGAGTATGTATATGGCTTAAATAAAATAATTCTTAGTATTCTCTTTTGTGCTTTCCACATTGACTGTGTCTTGCTGATATTTCGTCAAACATTCTGCCGTCTGAAACTGTACCTTTTTGGAAAAAAAACAATTTAACCTTTGCACTGATGAACTTACTATCAGGCCGTTCTAGAGGGCTAGTAACTTCCTTACCACATTTTTCTTGACAAACTCGTTTATATGTCAACAAGTTATTAGATAATTGCGAAATCTAAGCCATGTCTTAATCAGGTACAAATATTAAATTTGCACTTACTTGTTTTTAAGACCGTTTCTTGGCCAACCTCGAAAAAAACCGCTTTTTGCCAGAATCTGACACACAACAAAATGTCTATATTGGGGAATAGGCAACTGTAAAGTACATTTTTTTAAAAGTATTTCTTGATCAACTGGCCCCAATTTATTTATTTAACATTTTTTCATGTTTGTCTTCAAAATTTTCCGTATAATCAGCATGGACAAAGCCTATAAATATCTATATATCTAGTAGCTACTACATATCTAGTAGAGGTCATAAATGCTTAGTTGAGTGTGTGGTTAGGTTCTTTGTGTCATATAATAGCTACTAAATATATACGGGTGTTGCCTATGCTGATAATGCGCATAAAAAATGCTGGGATATTAGTAAATGTTTAGGGAAAACGAGTTATGTGTGTGGAGATCGCTGCCAGATAAAAAACGCAAGTGCAGATTATTTCGCTCAGTATGTCATCGCCGCTTAAGATGCATCAAATTTGCTGCATCTAATATCTGCAAGGAGCACTTTTAAAATTCGTAGACATTCACAAACTTTTTTTCCATGTTTTACTTTTTATCTACGTGATTTCTAATAAAATCTAAAAACTTCTTAAAATTCGCAGTTCAATCTTCTCGCATAATATTTAAATGCAATTTGTACTTTAATAACGGCAACGTCGCATTGCTTATCTGCAGTTACAAGAAACTCTCCAATATGCAATTTGGATTGAATCATGCAGAGGCTTTTTGAGATATTAAATCTGAAGAAAATTTACAGGCGTATGAGTAATCGACCTCGAATTCCATCAACAAGGAAAATATTCTGGCTATATTTACTGTTGATGTTACCTGTGGCAATATTCGAAAACATCTCTAGAACCGATGTCTTGGGTATTTTTCTAGGCAATTAAACCTATTTTTGACCATTTTTGATTAATTATACAATTTGATAAATGAGAATATTCCTTCGGGGAATGATGCAGAGAGATAATGTTAATATTTATTTTAAGAGCAAATTTAAGTTACTAACCTAAACATATTTTAAAGAATTATTTAAAAGCGGCTGTTTTCACCATCTCCATATTAGCGATGCAAGTTTATAAGATTTCTTTTATGTAGTACATTACCTATTATAAGGTTAATATCCTATCTGTGTTTGGTGTTGCTATTCAATAAATTTGCTATTTGTTCATGTGACAGACAATAATTAATTTTTAGTCTGTTTTGTGGCTAGAGTTGGCAAGGGTCGACTACAAACCTCAACCATTAAACGCTATATTGTGCTTTAAGTTAGATGAAAATAACGAAAAAGTTTAGTTTTACTGAGTTAATTAATTAGGAGCTAAAAGTTTTTAAAAAAGTATTACAAAATATTACCAATAATTGTTATAAAATCTCCATTACATTTATCACAATAATGTAAGATACAGAATTAATTGCGTGCCTGTGTTTGAAATATTCCACTTTTCGCGGAATATAAAAAAACTAAATAAATAATAAAATAAAAATATAAATAAATGGGTAAAATAATAAAAAATAATAAAAGAGTTCGGTTCAGAATATGCAAAGAAGAGACATGGATAGCAGGTCAATAAACGAACCTCTACTCATCGACTTATAACACTAATATTGAAAAGTTGTTTTCTCTACAAAAAAAATCTAGTTTACAAATTATTATATTAAAAAAAAATAATAAGGGTAAGTAAATAAAGGGTATCTAAATAAATATTATTTCACTTTTTTAATATACATGAGTCGATTACTTCAAACCAAAAATATTTAGAAAACAGTTGTCCCGGCGACTAATAAGAGGACTTTTTTCACTTAAAAATGATTGAGGAATAATTTTTTTAACAAAAATTTGAAATAATTATTGAGAAATCGCTCTGTGAAATATTGCAAAATTCTAAAATAACGCCCTGTAGTAGATTTAGTTTATAAATTTCTAGCTAAAATAGTTAAATTCAAGTATTCCGCAGTCTTTACACTTTGATATTAGGCTTTGTTTTTCCTTCATTTAAAAAGTCTGTTGTACTTTTGTTCACCTTAGCAATCCTTAACTCTTTGCAGGCAGTTTACAAAATATTTTGAGAATAAGTTCGGAGGAGTCTATTCTACTGAAAAATTTGTAAGGAGGTATCGCTGGCGGATTAGCAGACGAATCATTTTATTTTAACGCGCAAGGTTGACTTTAAATTTGACATTAAGATGTAAAATAATAAAATTAAAAAAAAATAAAAGAATTAACAGCTAACCTTCATTAAAATCTCATTTTTGTTGTTACCACTCGACCAAAAAGGAACGAACGTTTTCAATGTTAAAAAATGGATTAATTTGTTACACCTGTCTTGTGGAATTAAATTAGGTGTATTGTTTATACAATTATTATGAAAATGATACGATATGAAAATAAAATATGTAATATAATATACTATTCTAGCAAATGATCATAATTTTTTGTATAAAATTATCTCAAAGATGCTTAAAAATTCTATTACGGAGCAAGAGTACATTTTAAGTTAAACTTAAATGTTAAAATTACAGAAAAGAATATTGTATTCAAAACTGTTTTTGATTCACCTTGTAGAAACTAATTTAAGAAACTATCCTTAGGTCGACTACTTTCGTGTGGATGACCCTGTGTAAAGGGTGTTCCAAACTGGACACTTTTAAATTTAAAATTGCCTTTCACAATGAGAGAGATGAGACCTAATGCCTAGTTTAATTTGCATAAAAAATATAACAGTTAAAACCGCACATATTTTACTGTTTCAATGCTGATTTTTTAAACATTAGCGGTTTTAAATAATCTTTGTAAATATTTTGGAATGGAGAACTTTTTTTCTAATTAATAATTAATAACTTTTACCTAAAATTTATTGCATGTACCTTAAAAATCAATAGTTTAACACTTATCAACATAGCAATAGTAACAATTTCTACTCCCTTTCGTAAAATGCCTAATTATGCACCGATCTAGAGTGCGCCACTTTACTAAGTGAGTTATTTGTCCCACGGTTTACGTATATTTGTTAAACTGATTTATGGAAAAATGTAGCCGGGTAAGCGATTTTCCGCGACATTTTCAAATTTATTTAAAAAATTACATCAGTCTTTCGTTTTCACAGCCAAAACCACAATTTGCCAACGATTATGTATATAAAGAAGTAAAGAAATAATAAAGAAAGTGCTTTTAAAAAGTTTTCCATAGCAAAAAAGTTACAGTAGTTTTTTATGAAAATTGGCACCGATAGACACCGACATTAGTTTTTGTTATTTAGAGAAATGTCCAATGACCATATTTTTGGTTTCAATTCGATTTCCAGTTTTCTATTTTATGACCTATCCTCTAAATCACACCAGGTTCGATAGGAGGGGTCCTTAATTCCTTGAATAATATTACTTTTCGCTGATCCGGCAACGGGGCGATTGAGTTTATACCGGCATCCGTCACCCACTTCAGACATTCGATGCAGCGCGCGCGTCATGTTCGCGAGGTCTGAAGTCTTTTTGAGCAGGAAAGAGCAATATACAGAGTGTTTTCAAGCCGGTGTGCAGTGGAGAATCGGCGACGTTAAGTTTACTGTTACCGGTTGATCAACTGGAACTCAGACTAGATTAAAAACGGATTCTCCGAAGGCAGCGTGTTGAGCAATCTGGCAATCATTTCGGCGATTTTGTGTTTCGTGAGGGGATTTGTGTTTGATGTTATTGGGTAAGTCGACTTGAGGACCAGAAATTTTTGAAAACAAAAAAGGGGCATCATCCAAAGCCGTTATTGTTAAATGCGTTATGATAAATAAAACGGACTACTGACAAAAATGGGATTGATAATAATCCTATTAGCTTCAAATAATAAATATGTAAATAGAAATCTTTCGTCTGTAAAGTTGAAGTTTATAGTTAATAAATAAATATTCGTTCCGAAACTAAAAACTAAGTCTTTCCGTCAATCAAATTTTAAGGTAATATTTTTGCGTAGGGTGGGATTACGCGATTAATTAAACAACTGACATTTTAAAACTGTACCCGTCCGTCCCAGGTGGCTTGGCATATCCTCGAATGCCGACGATTTATAAAGAACTGATTAAATTCCTATTAGACACCTTTGACACCCTTTTCTACTGAAAATTATTTTAGCTGTACCATTTTAAGTTTAGTACATACATTTCTATAACGATTTTGTAGTGTAAGAATAATTGTGCGGTGATATGAATAGCGGAATAGAACACGAACCTTAAATTATAGGTAACTTAAACATATTGCTCTATTCTTATGATGAGTTTAAAGTGACGTGACTAAATTTACCACGTTGCGGTAAGTACAAATAGACGGTTTGAGGGAGACAATTTTTATTAAATTTATTCGACTTTAGTCTCGATAATTTCATCAATTTTAATGACCGCTATTTTCTTTTGACATTTTCAGAGGTTTTCCCTTATTCTTAAAAATACCCGTTATACGAACTGTACAACTAGGAGATTTCGTTCAGATATTTGTTCATTTACAAAATATTAGGCTAACAAGTTCAAAATATGCGTCATTTTATTCAAATTTACACATTTTGACATATTTATAAAAAAACGGAAACAGAAAAAACTGCCTCACTCCACACTTCAAACTTAAAATAAGTATAAAATAAACCCCGTTCTCTTATTTTACAATAATCCATGTGATAATAATAAGAATCGTTATCAGTGACATCCCTTTAAATTTATTCACTAGGTATTTCTTAATTTTTTTCTAATCGCAATCTATTGAGTAATAGTGGAAAAGAGTATTAGTAAAAGGAATGGTAAAAATGTTATAAATGTTTTTTATCTAGCCATCAAAATATGCAAACGTTCGGAATTTTTTTAGAACTTTACAAAATAAAATATCTTTGGAGAAAGATTATCTTTTGTCATTAAAACCCCCTAATTGGTTTTTCATGTTGCACTTTCTTCCGATAGAATCAATAGTCACACCCGACAAATTAACCGAGGAATATTAGCAAGGTATTTCAACTATTTACTTTGGCTTGAAATAAAAACTCGCCTGTAAACACTTTCTTCCAACTTCCAACACTTTTGTCGCTTGTGAGTGATCCTAATTTAACAGTGTTTTTTATTTGTTAAATGTTGTATATGGATTTCTCAAGCTCTCATTTTTCTGTGAACATTTTTTTTTCGTTTCTATTACTAACCAACACAATTTATATCACTGGTGTCTATTTAAGAAGTAAGGCAGACCTAAAAATTCGGTTGATATAACAATTGAATGTGAATTTTTGACATAAGTATTAACGTTAGAAACATGAGAATACAAAACATAAAATGTCACCTAATATATAAATCGTCTTCTAATAAAACCAAGCTAGTAAAATGTTTCGCAATCTTCGTTGCAAGTTATTGTTATTAATTACTGGCTTCATATTTAACAGTCACCGTGAATCATTGTCCGTTGATTTTGTTTTCCAATGAATCGGTTCAGTAACGGTAATATTTAGTTTCGCAACATTTCGAAATTTGTGAATAATTTCAATTCGCACCATATCAGCATCTGGGTTAATGTATTTGAGTAAACGAAATTTCGATTTTGAAAACCGGTTAAGCGCATTAATTCAGAACACAGTGGATGACCGCACTGCTATTGACAGTGCTTTTAAACTTAAACTTTAACGTATAGAACCGTTGGTTCTGCTTCCTGCAAAGGCTTACGGCACTAAAAGTTAAAAATACGTTGCTTTTGCTATTTTTATTTAATATTTTGCGCTTACATTCATCCGGGAGTGACGATGCATACGTCTTAAAGTTACACTTTCCGCATGCTTGATCCATGTACAGTTTGGTATATTAGAGTAGGGAGTAGAAAAATTAAGTAGAAATTATCTAATAAGTGCTATTAGTGTTTTCAAGCATTTTAATTTTCAATTAAAATAATTAATTAAATAAATAAATAAATAAATGCGCGGCCTCTGAAGATGCCAAGTAATATTTTGGAGAAACGTCAGGCGAATGATCCTACTCCAGGATCAAACGACGAACGGATGAACACCCGGACTACCACCAATACACATAGTTTCATCCGTGAATATATATATATATATATATATATATATATATATATATATATATATATATATATATATATATATATATATATATATATATATATATATATACAGGGTTTTTCACTTAAAACTCCGCACACCAATAACTCCAAAACGAAAAGAAATATTTAATTTATGTAAAAAGTAGTCAAAGTGTGGGGTCAAGTAGATATTTCCTAAAGTTTAAAAAATTCGACGCCTGTAAAGAGCTGGGCGTCGCGACGCGTCGAAAAATTATTCGATTGCAGAGACTTTGGAAATACGTGCATACAAAAGTACGTATTATTTAAGAACTTTCTTGTTATTTACTCAAACTTATTTACTTTACCCGTTTCTAAGTTATACCGATTTAAAGTAAACATTTCTTGATTAATAAAAAATGTGATTAACGCTTATTTTTACAAGTATGCCATGAGTGACAGTTACTAGGGCAACCATTGTTATCGCAGTTGTTTTAAGTGCAATTACAAACGTAAGTTGTTATTGCTGTATCAAAAAATTGTCACATTTTGTCACAAGAAATATCCAAATTTGTTCGGTTTAAAAAAATCTAAGAATTATTATGTGAAAATGGTGCAATTTAGCAATGAGGAAAAAGTAGACATGTTACTGGTGTTTGGAGAATGCAGATGCAATTGTAGAGAAGTAAAAAGAGTTTACGCACGGCGTTATCCGCATAGAAGAGTCCCCGATGCAAAAACCTTTTCAAGTTTATGTAAAAACTTAAGAGAATATGGCAGCATCATAAAACCTAAAAGAGATAAGAACAGGACGGCTACAAATGATGAAAATACTGCTGCTGTAATTCAGCAGATTGATAATAACCCCAAGATATCCCTATCAGAGATAAAAGAAAATACCGGTGTTACCATAAGTTCTTCGTGGAGAATTCTACATAGAAACTCTTTTCACCCGTACAAAAGTAAACTAGTTCATATACTAGAACCAGGCGATTATGCTAGAAGAATGTATTACTTAGCGACATTGTCCGATTTGTATAGCCAAGATGCAAATTTTCTCTCGAAAATTTTATGGAGCGACGAAAGTCGATTTCAAAATAATGGAATCGTTAATAGACACAACTGTCGTTTTTGGTCCGAAAACCATCCTCGTTGGATTACAGAAAGAGGTAAACAACGAATTTTTAGTGTCAATGTTTGGTGCGGCATATTAAATGGATTCCTTATTGGACCTTACTTTTACGAAGGAACTTTAAATGCAGATCGCTATTTAAGATTTCTTCAAACTACACTTCCGGAACTATTAGAAGAAGTGCCTCTTGACACTAGAATGAATATGTGGCTACAGCAGGATGGAGCGCCTGCACATAATGCCCAAATAGTAACGAGGTATTTGAACCGAGAATATCCCAATAGATGGTTTGGTACTAATGGACCGGTAAGGTGGCCGGCGAGGTCCCCGGACATTACACCACCAGATTATTTTCTTTGGGGCTACCTAAAAAACGTTATCTATGAAGAACCTATCGAAGATATGGCTGATCTCATTAACAAAATTAGTGCAGCGTGTGCCGCTATCACAAGAAGGACTCTCCTACAAGTGACCCAAGCTCATCTGTTAAAAGTTTTTAATAGTTGTGTTCGAGCAGATGGACATAATTTTGAACAAAATTTTTGAAATGTCTTATTATGTAGTTAATTGCAATAATAATTTTGGTTATTAACTTGTAGGTATTTTACTGTTTTTTCATTTATTTATCATGTTATCAGAACTAAATCAATACAAAATAATAAATAAAATCATACTAAAATAGTTGAAATCTATTGCACTTAAAACAACGGCGATAACAATGGTTGCCATAGTAACTAACATTCATGGCATACTTGTAAAAATAAGCGTTAATCACATTTTTTATTAATCAAGAAATGTTTACTTTAAATCGGTATAACTTAGAAACGGGTAAAGTAAATAAGTTTGAGTAAATGACAAAAAAGTTTTTAAATAATATGTACTTTTGTATGCGCGTATTTCCAAAGTCTTTGCAATCGAATAATTTTTCGACGCGTCGCGACGCCCAGCTCTTTGCAGGCGTCAATTTTTTTAAACTTTAGGAAATATCTACTTGACCCCACACTTTGACTACTTTTTACATAAATTAAATATTTCTTTTCGTTTTGGAGTTATTGGCGTGCGGAGTTTTAAGTGAAAAACCCTGTATATATATATATATATATATATATATATATATATATATATATATATATATATATATATATATATATATATATATATATATGCAGGAAGATAAATAAGAAAGATATATGATATAACTGACCACACTCTTGAGCCACCAAATATAACAAATGTGTTACTTATCTTAAGATATTCAGAAGTGCAAAAACTGCGAATACCGTTACAACAAAGTTAACCAGTTATTGCATCTATATCGAAGTCAGGTTAGACGATTAGACTACCTCGTTATAGGTTAATTGCGGGTCATGCGATCTGAAGCAATTAAACTGCATAATACGCGTGGCAGCTGGTAATTTGATTTAACCGATTTATTAACAGGTTTTTTTCTTATTCAATTTGGTTCCAGTTTTCACCATAGAAAATAGGTAACGCTGGAACAAAAGAATTCGTTGTTTCGAAATTAATTGTTG